GAAAAATTTAATTACTTTATTTTCAAATGATTAAATTAAGTTATTTGGAAACAGTGAATTTGGCACGTAATTTTGTAAAACGGACGGTCTCTTGACATTAAAGTTTCAGTTTTTTTAATGACAAGGTTAGCTTGTTGAAAGTATTTTAGCGTGAAGTATCGTTAATCCTGAATGCTTGATCTCGATTTCCTTTGTGGGCACTTTTGAATTTGAGGATTAATGCTTAGTTATCCCTGTAGGGTATAACCAACAAAGGACATTTAATTGGGATTAAATCAAACCATAGATCTGCATCATATAGTAGATAAATTCTCGATCCCAACATTCACAAAACAAAAGTTTAGACCCCTGATTTTGTAATTATTGTGATTTACGTACCTAAGACAACCAGGAGGTCCGAAATCATGAGAGGTCGGTGATGTTCCTTTATATACCCGTTTATCTAGGACCTTGGCCTCCTGACCTTTCCTACAATAGGACATATTAAACTGTGGAATAGGAAGACAACTTTTAAACTCAAGTTTTTATTAAAATAGTAAAATGAACATGAATCACAGATATTGTGTCGTTTTCACAATATTGTTTACTATTGTTTACCTGACCCCTCTGTACGGATAAACAAACAGCTATTTTCCATATCAAAACACAATCTTGTTTATTATTGTTTACCTGACCCCTCTGTACGGATAAACAAATAGCTATTTTCCATATTTAAACACAATCTTGTTTATTATTGTTTACCTGACCCCTCTGTAAGGATAAACAAACAGCTCTCTTCCATAATTAAACACAATCTTGATTATTATTGTTTACCTGACTCCTCTGTAAGGATAAACAAACAGCTCTCTTCCATAATTAAACGCAATCTTGTTTATTATTGTTTACCTGACCCCTCTGTACGGATAAACAAACAGCTCTCTTCCATAATTAAACGCAATCTTCTCTTCCTCGGAATTCCCACAACCAACAAATGAAACCTTAAAGTATTTTGTTTAAATATAAATTCACTTAAATTTACTATTTTTCAACATTAGGTTTTTTCTGATTAAAAATCAATAATTTTAACCATTAAGCTTCTACTGATTTCAAAAAAAATTTGGGAGCAAATTATGATATGATTACATATCTGATTTTATAATACAGAATGAATCTTTGTTATTGTTCTAGAGCGGTCCAGTAAAATGGTAACAATTCATATCACTTCTCAGCTCTAATCAGGAAGGTATAATGCATATTTTCTTTAAAAAATCCCCCCAGCGCCCCAAAAATATTATTTGCCCTGAGCGCAACATTTTTTGAAGGTTTTATCTCTCTCACTAAGTTGGGAAAGCTAAATTATTCTTTGAGTAAAAATCCGTTGTTCCCCCCCCCCCCCAAACTTTTGAAAA